CACAGAACTTTCCTAAAGTTAAAAAAAGATTCTATTCAAAATTGAGATTTTTCTTTGTATAAATTTAAAGCTACAGCTATTACATTAATGTTTTGCATATTGTAAATATTATTAATGATCACAATACTTTAAGTTGGGTTTTATTTCGTTTCTTTCAACATCAAATATGTCTATCTTCCAGATCACGCACCTTGTGCGCGAATAGAGAAATTGCGCAATTTTGACAAATGGCGCCACGTCATATTCACAATCGTCTTAATAAGCACAACTGGTTCTTGACCTCACTCAAAATTCACAGATCGCGATCGTGATGTATTGATCACGATGTTAAATCGCAGCAGTTACTAACGCGGCATGTAACAAGTAGCGTTCGCAAGGAGTTCCCATATTGCAGGTCGGGCGTAACACGCCGATGGTGCCGACTGATTAGGATGTAACACAGTCCAGGAAAATGCCAGGGGCAATTGTATGAGAAAGAAAATGTTCGGCTGCTTTTTTTTCTCTCTCTTTGCAAATTGCGTAAAAGACGTACTGTGCAATCATAAAGCAACAATTGACTCTAACTTTCCGCGCGATATCTCGCCGTAATTACTCCAAATAAAATATACGGCCCGCGTAATAGCGAGCAATTATGTTATAATTTTCCTGACACAGAAGATACGGCGATCGCGCCTGTTTTTCTCAAGCTTTTTGCGAGAAATGAAACGTTTAGGAAAGTGAAACCCCGATTAAGGCAAAATCGACAGAAAACTAGAGAACAATAGATTTCCATTGTGTGAAGTATGTCTGAAGTATTCTATCTATGTTTATTTCACAATTGCACAATATTAATGTTTCGTAAAAACGCATGAGAATGATAATATAGCATATAACAAAGAATGGAAAGAATTTATGTCTCATTTAAATTGCACCGTAAAAATGCAAATAAAGGACGCAACGGATTATTCCATTTTGCATCCGTTTCGCCATTTTCTTATTAAAATAGTAGATAAATTTTTTTCATTTCCGCAGTGTAAAGTAAAATCCAATATGCATCCAATTAATTTAAACGTAGTACAATGCGAAGTTCAACACGCATCGTATTAATTTCATAATCATAAAGCGAAATCTGCCTTTCTTCATTCGCTTTCAAGTTTAATTAACTGACGATATAGTTCTGTTCTATATATGTATATTAATTTTGCAATAGCGAAATCCACATTTCTTTAATCGGTTTAGCTTGCCGTGTGCGAGGAAAACCATGCGATCTTTTTCTTCTAGTCATTCGTTTCACTGAACTCGGTCTCGTGTTGAAATCGCTGTTACGCTAAGAAATTAGTGTGTACATGCATATACAGTTAACAATAGAACTTTTATTACTCTCCGTGACTAACTATTCAGATACAATATAATGAAAATAAGATAAGATATTTTTTTTATAAATATACATATATAACAATTTTCTATAATTTTTAAAAGACTTTCTTGGATATAGTATCTGTATAAGAAATGTTTTAAAAATAAAATATTTTTTCCTTAAACAGATTTATATGACAATATTATTAACATTATAATACATAATATTATATTTTACATTATTATATTTTAACAATTTCTAACAATTACATTTTAATACACAACGAATAACATTGTTATATTTTACATTAGAGCACAGATTCTCTGAAAGAGAAGATAAATGATCGAGTCATATCGGGAGATACGTTTCTCTCTGGTTATCTTTTAATTTTCAGCACACAGCAGTTCCAGCAATTCCCCTCCCCCCTCCCCCTGTGCTTCAATCACCCTCGGGTCTAATAAACACGCGCTTTATGAGCAGCACTAATTTCGCAAGTGGCGGCCACTAGAGGTGGTTATAGCCATGAACGCATTTAGTTCTGGGTCACATCGGAATACATTTGTCCTCTTCTCCCTCTGTCTCCCCCACCCTTCTGCTCTTTCACTCCCTCCAAAAGCACGAATTGCACGGTGTGATTTTTGCCAGCGCGAAAACGCGTCGTTTCCCGAGCGGTGGAGTGGTGAGTGAACGCCCCTACGTTTCTTCGTCGTCGGCCGCGCTTTTTCAGACCGATTAGCAATTACCTGCTAAGACTAAGGCCGACGGTCGCCTTTACTCGATATAAAAATCCCTGCGCTCGGTACACGATTTGCGCAACCCCGAGCCAAGCACGATCCGTTACATTGCCCGCGAATGTATGTGCGGAACCACCCCGGTGGAGGTTGATACGTCGCGGCAGTAGAGTCGTTGCAAAATCTGGAAAGTTTAACGATTCCCATTATTTTGTAATGTCTTACGCTCGTTCTGTTCAGATCAGATGAGCGAGCGAGCGAGGAGCGAGCAAAAGAGAGAGAGAGAGAGAGAGAGAGAGAGAGAGAAGGAAAGAGAG